CGCGCGCCGTCCGCCCTCGCCTGCCGCCTCTGCCGCCACCGCCTCGCCGGGGTCCCGCGGCGGGGGCGGGGGGGCCTCGAGGATCCTCGAGGGCCTCGAGGGTCTCGAGGAGCTCGAGGACCAGTCGAGGATCTCGAGGATCTCGACCGTCGAGGATCGAGGATCGAGGGGATCTCGAGGCTCGGGGTGCACAGGACGAGGTGTCATGATGCGAATGGCTCAAGATACGATTCAGGAATTCTGGAGATCTAGCGGCCCTCGTTTCGGCAGCCCGTGTGGAACGTATCATTATCATCACCCCTTGCTCCTCTGGCGGATGGAAGACACAACAGCATAGAACCTTTTGACGGCCCGCGCGGATTCAACGCACAGCCAAGAACACATCCGCACGGATCGTCGAACATCCTGTGCGGCGAGTGTGTCCATATCCACGCCCTCGAGGTCTGGATTCCTGGGGCGCGATCCCGCGGATAAGCGATCGCGCGGATGCGCTCCGCTCGGGGCGCCCACGAAAAAAAACACGAAACGTGCCCGTGCGGTCACGGCACCAAGGCCCGGCCCGCGAAGCCGCGGATCCGGCTATGTTTTCTCGCCCACGACGAGGTGGACCGTCAGGGGGAATCGACACCGTGCCTTATACACGTTGCGGCACGGAAGAATGTCAAGAGCTGCCTGGTAGGGTTTCTGTATTCTGCTAGGGACCCTCCTGCCAACATCTCCCCGCGTGCATCGCCTCCCCTCCCGAGGCCACGACCCAGCCGCAAAAACTATGGATCTGCTGATCTTGATGTTTGTGCAGTTTTTCTCCCCCGAGCTGAGCAAACTCTCCTGGCCGTGAGGTGGGCCAAGACCGCCCCAGCAGAACTCCACGACGGAACGCGCGCTCCGTGCGCATCTTCCGATGATGGCAGCGCCGCACCGTGGCGGGAGCGTGCCGCTTGGCTGTTCGGGGCAGGAGCCGTACTTGCGCCAGTCTTGGGCCGCCTCGGAACAGCCTCCGCCCTGGCCTCGCCCCTTTCGCTCCGCCCGCCGCCTCCCCCATTCCCTCAGCCCTCGTCCCTGCTCCCCCCCACGCCCCCTTTGCTCTCGTCTCCCTTCTCCACCCCTTTCTGCCCGTTTGCTTTCTGCTCTCCCCTCTTTCGGCCTCTCTTCCACGCATTCCTTTCCTCCACGCTCCCTCCTCTCCCCCCCCCCTCCCTCACCGATCCTCCCTCGGTTCTCCTCGCTTTTCCATCCTGCCCCCGCCCATCTTCCCCCCAATGCCCTCCTCGCTCTTCCACCCCCCAATGCTCGACGGCTCTTCCCTCTTCCTTCCCGCTCCCGGGGAAGTGGGCGATGTGCAGCGAAGAGGGAGGGGGGGGGAATCGCGGGGGTTTTCCATTCCTTCCCCTTGTAAGTCGCCCCTCCCTGTCGCACCCCGACGCCCGTCCGAAGGGCGGGCCGGGCGTTTCGCCTGAGACTTTGCCGCGTGTGATCCTAAAGCTTAAAAATTGGCGACAGCTTCGCAGATGGAGGGCGGGTCGCTTCCAAAATGTGGCTCATTGAGCGCCGCGCACATAAGAGCTTCACGGATTGAGGGGGGTCGTCTGCAACATGTGGTTTTCGCTTCAGCGCCGCGCACAGATTCCTATGATAAAATACCTGAAATGGTGCGTTTGTCACAACAGATACAGTTACGCAAAAGGTACTGTGATTCGCGGTGTTGAAGTTCCAAGAATTGTTCTGGCACGATCCAAACTCGTCAAGACGAAACAATTTAGTTGATTCGTGGCGCCGGAGTCCTGGCATTGGTGTTTTGGCACGCTTCAGGCTATCCAGACGGTTCTCTGCCAACGGGGCATTTCCTCTGGATACATCTATACAGCTATATATAGCACCAGCTGCGGTCCCTGACGCCAAAAAGGGACTACTGAAAAGGATTGGGAACCAGACGGGACAACCCCCTATCGAGTGCTCACGGGCTCACTGGGGGCTGAGGCTCGCCATCTTTTTATAGAGGCGATGCAGCAATGGCGGAATCGAAACGGCCACCGGCAAGAAGGACACCAGCGCGCTGAGGTCTGGACGCCGCCCCGTTTCCAACTTCTCTTGTGGTGATCTGGCCGTCAGGCCGTCAAGTCCCACGCCTTTCGGAACCTCCTCGACGCTTCCAACTCCTGAGCCACCGACGCGAAATGCTCGGCCAGAGCCGCGCGCAAATTCTTAGGGCTGGCGGCCGCTAGGGCCGCGCGTTTGAAGTATAACATGCGGGCGCCCAGTGCGACCGCAGACCCCCGCGGCCCCCGCGCAGACGTCTCCACTCATCGCAGTAACCAGCCCCCCACATCGCCACTGTCGGCGCCTTCCTCCGCCGGGTACCATAAGCGCCCTGATGGAAGTCTTGGATCCGGCAGTCCTCGGCGCGGTGGAGGGAGGTCAGCGGCGGCGCGAGCCGCATGATTGAAGCGCGCGGGTTCTCCAACCCAACAGGGGCGCGGATGCGTCGGCACAAGCGAATGGTTGCAGCTGTAAAACTCCAGGAATCGCTGCCAATGTAAACCTTTCACTGGTGCTCGGCTGAGAGGCCCTGCGCGCCCATAGGTCTGGAAGAGGTCCGGGGGGTGATGCGAGCCGCCCTGGGCCAGGCAGTGCGCGGAGTGCCCAAGAACGCACCGAACAAAGCATTCGAAGAAGTCCAGCCTTGGACAACCTGGAAAAAGGAACGTCGGAGGTGGTCCTCCATGGCTCCACGGGCCCAATCCAGCGACCGCTCCCCCGAGCCTGTGGGCGGCTGGCGAGGGGGGTCCGCATCCGCCGAAGAGCTCCAGGAAGCGGCGGTAGCCTAGCGCGCGCTGGCCTCTGTCAGGCCGCCTGACTTCGACCCCGGACCGGCGGTGGAGGTGTCGGGCGAGCTCGGCGTCCGAGGCGGTCAGCGCAGCGGGCGCTTGGCCCCATCGGGCGGCGCCTCCCGGCAGCGGCGCTGGCGCCCCCGCGGCGCTGGCAGCGCCGGTGCGGCGGGCCCTCGCGAGACGCGGCTCCGCGGGTCCAGCAGCCCGCGCAGTCGCGCAGCAAGGCGGCCTCCAGGTTGGCCACCGCCGACTGTCCGAAGGCTACCACCTCCGGGTGCACCAGGTTGAGGATCGCCAGCAGCTTCGACTCCTCGCTGTAGAGGCGAAGGGACGCCTCGCTCTGCCAGCGGCCCCGCCTCTGCACCGCGGCCAGCGGCCTGCGCTGCAAGGCGAGGTCCTCGGAGGCGCCGCCGTGCCGCAATTGATGGGCTGGGCCGCGTCGGCGACGGGCCCAGCAGAAGTGGGCGCTCTCGAAGCGCGCCTTGAGGTCCGCAGGGCTGAGGTCGCGCAGCGCGTCGGGCGCCAGCGAGCTCTGCAGGGCCACCGCCGGCTTCAGGGTCCATGGGCCGAGGTTCAGCAGCGCCGACTCGTCCCGGACGCCCGTCTGCCCGGGCACCAGGGTGGCCGCGTCGCCCAGCAGCAGGCCCCGCGCGGCGTAAGCGGCGCCCGCTGTTGGCGCCGGAGGCACCGCGCGGCGGGCTCGCAGCCGGGCGAGCTCGCGAGGGCGCAGGTGGGCGAACGGCGCAAGCAGCAGCATCAGCCCCGCGCGCTGGAGGCCCCAGTGGATGAACAGGCCTGCGATGGCCCCCGCCGCCGCGCGCGGCACGGGCAACCGCGACTGCGCTGGCGCCCGCCTCCGCCGAGCCCCCGAGCACCGAGTCGCCCGCGGCAGCAGCGCGCGGGTGGCCCGCCCCAGCTCTGGCAACCAGTGCCCCGGCGCCGACGGGGTCTGCGACGCCGCGCCGGGCCCCGGGCCCACGGGGAACGAGTGATTTACGCAGGCGACCAGCGCCGCGCCCAGCGACGCGATGTCCGTCTTGGAGAGCCTCTCCTGCTAGCAGAAGTCCACGAAGCGCTTCGGCACGGAGACGCAGAGCCCCTCGGTCCACGGGCGGATCGCCAGCCTCTCCAGCGCGCTGGGCTCGCCCAGGCTTGGCTGCTGGCCCCTGGCGTCGGACAGGCAGCCATCGCGGCGCGGCCGCGCTGCTCGGCCGCCCGAGCGCCCCGAGGCCCGCCAGCAGCGGCCGCCGCGGCGTTCCATCCGCGCGGCCCCCGCGGGGGAAGCGGCGCGGAGGGCAGGTGCCCGCTTGGGAACCAGCCCAAACGGCCGCGAGAGGGGGCATCGGCTACGCTCCATGCCGAGGGAATCCACCTGGCGACGAACTTAGCACCCGAGCGGAGACTGAGGCGACGCAACTGTCGGAGAACACGTCGGAGATGCAGGGCGTTGGCCCCCCCCTTGGCCATGGCCCGTGCGAGGGGGGGGGGGGGATTGTCCACGAAGACGAGGCACCGCGTGCCGAAGTTGCTGCAGCTCCGAAACAAGTGTTGGGCAGCCAATAGCAGCGCGTCGCCCCCGAAACAAAATGCGCCGCCCCCCCCACCCCCCCGCCCCCCCTTAACCTGAGCGGCCAAGACAGTCGACCAAGAGTCCTCCTCGAAGACACTCTGGGGGACCTCATTGAAAGCCCGGGCCCGCTGCGAGATGGAACCTGGGCCCGAGAAGACCTGGACATCGTCGCGCGACTGGTTAAACTCTGGGTCATCGTCGCAGTGCAGGATTACATCGGGGTTGTCGAGTTCGGGGGGGGGGGGGGGGGGCTTGGTGCAGATCGCAGGGCGGGGCGGCGCCACCATGCGGGTTAGATTGCCTAGCTTTCGCGCCGCCCTCCACTCCGAAGCGCCACTTTTCACAGCGACGTCTACTTGAACCCGCCGTCTCAAGGCCCAGCATGCGAGAACAGACGCCGAGTCCATAATTACACTCGGAAGCATCGGGCGCCAAAACCTGCTGTCTCCACGGGGCGGACTGATCTGACGCTAGAAGTGAGCAGCGCCACGAACCCCCGTGAACTCCCTGAGAACGCCGGGCCATAGACGTGCCGGCTCGCGCCCAGCCACGCGCTGAAGAGCGCACATTTGAAAAGGAGCGCCAGGCATTCCCGTCTGATCAGACCCGCCAGCGCGAGGCGACCAAGTATTATCTCCATCAACTCACCGCTGGCATGTCGCTTGCGGATGACTATGTCCAGAGCCCGCCGGAGACGCCAGATAATGCGACGACGAACCGAATGCCTCCGACCACTGACGAGATTCACCCCTAGAAACTCGGCGCCCTGGCAAGCGTCGGTCATCTCGTGGACCTGAAGCCCCAGGCCCGACAAGCGATTGGCGATGGCATCCCGGGCCGCCTGGGCCTGTGACGCAGAGCGACTGAACGCGAAGAAATTACCGACGTGCCCCGCCACGACGCGCGACTTCTCGCTCCTCAGGACCTTGCTGGGCCCCCCGTCGAGGACAATCTGGCGCTAAAAGAACCCCGAGACAACCAAGCTTTCCAGCGAGACTGTCCGTGCCAGGTGCATGGCCCATGATCACCCCATAAGGAGGACGGTGAGAACGGGCGCGATAGACTCCGAAACCCCCGCGAGGCGACCCTCGCAAGACGTGGGCCCAGCATGGCAAGCAGCAGAATCAGGCTGCGGGAAATGCTCGGCTAGCTCCTCAGGCAAGCCTATGCGGCAGATGCAATTGTCAGTATCTCACCCCGACGCGCGCATGCGCGCATGCGCTCCGAGCCGGGCTCGCGAAGCTCAGCGCGTCCGAGGTGGGGGGTCTCGTAGGAAATGGCACCGGCCAACATAAACGCAATTTACTTGTCGAGTATCGAAGAATAATCTAAGCGCCTCCGACTTCTCAGCGACGAAGAAGGCGCCCACCCGGGCGCGAGCCTCGAAGGAGCGCCGAACTGGAATCATGCCCCTCCGAGCGAGGTCTTTAAAAAGTCGACGTCGCAGAAGGGCTTGCCCGTCAGCGCCCCGTCAATGTGGGGGCCTCGCAAGCCGGCTTCGGCAGCCAGGGCGGCTGCCTCGCTCGCAGATCTGAGCAGGTTGCAACGTGCAGGACCCAGCCGCTTCCTGTCGCCCGCGGCCAGAAAGCCCAGAGGAGCAGGCTTGCCGGCGGCGGGCAGGGATGCGTTCCCCTTGGCACTGAGCCGAATGCTGGAGGGCCCCGCGCGGCACGGGCCGCCGGCGGCGCAAGGCTCGGCGAAGGCCCCCGTGCCACCAGGTGTCTCCGCCGGAGGGCGCCCCAATCTCAGGAGCACGGGCTCGATATGGGAGAGAGCGGCCCGCTGTCCAGCGTTGGCTGCCTGCGGGGGCTGCTCCGACTTGGCGGGCCCGTAGGCTGAGTTCAGCGAGTCGATGCAGCTGTTGGCCCGATCGAGAGTCTTGATGCCCCTCGATCTGGCGCCGCCTGTCAACGGCGCGGCTGCGCCCGAACCCCGTGCCCCCAGCGCCGCAGCGAAGCGTCGGCGGGAACAGGTCGCGCTGCCGAGGGCCGAGGTCGACCCCGGAACCAAGGGAACGATGTGCATCGCCAACAAAAGCAGCGCCGGGATGGCGAAGCCCGGGCGGGGGTCTGAAACGTCCGACGGGGGCGGCCCTGTCCTCTCCGCCGGCTCCTAGCCTAGCCATCCTCGCCGCCGCCATCCCTGCCGCCCTTGGCCTTCAACTTGGCCTTGGCAGCAGTCTGAGCGGTGGCGCGTTCTTCTCGTGCCTTCCTCCTCTCTTTCAGGATCGCGCGCTCCTGGGCTAGCTCCTGGCTCACCCAGGCCTTGAGCGCAGGGCAGACGCAGCAGCTGCCTCGAGCGAGCTCCATCTCCAAGTGCAGGTGCTGGTCCAGGCGGGTCCCGTCGATGGCGCCAGCTGTCCGCTCACGATGTCTCTCTTCGATGGTCTGAGGCTTCTGCCCAAAAGCTCGAAATTCGCCATCTCCGTCAGGTTCAATTGGTCGAAGCACACTGCACTCTCGAGGGCGGTGCAGACCCGCAGGTGCTCCTCCAAATCGCCCTCGTTGGGGGGCCTGCCGCTGGTCTTCCGTCGATGATGTTGCGCCACAGGGCTCCCCCCGTTGCCCGCCAGGAAGTGGCAGACCCACTTCAGCGCGCGCGGCCCCCTCACCGGCCAGTCAACCCAAGGTGTCTCCGTCAGCAGCGGCAGCGCCTCGGAGAACGCCCGATGCCTCTTCGCCATGGAGTCGATGAGGATCGGATGCGCCCTGAGGTCGGTCGGTCGACGCCTGGGCCGCGCCAGCCGCAGCGGGCACCACAGGCGCGGCGGCGAGCGCGGCCGCAGGCGCAGGGCCCGCGGCCACCAGAGCGCCAGCAGCAGGCACCACAGGCGCCGCCGGCGCGGCGGGCACGGTCCCCATCAGCGCGCCACTAGGCCCGGTTCCCGGCGCGATGACCCCGCCCGCAGGCCCCAGCACATCAGCGAGGGTGGCAAGCCCCCCGCCGACGCCAGCGGCGGCAGGCGCGGCGTCCGCCGCGGCCAGAGCGGCATGCCCGGCGCGCCCAGGCCCGCTGGTGGGGCTCCCGCTCCGCCAGTCGTGTTCGGCGCCAGCGGCAAGCCCGGCGCCGCGCCTCCCTTCCTGAGGGTGAGCTCCGCGGCGAGCGGCGCAGCCCGGAAGCGGTAGGGCCGCGCGGCAGGTCCCGCTGCAGCGGGGGGGGCAGCTCCGACCGGGGCGCCTCCAGGTACGAAACACCACTCCGCGGCATCCCTGCCAGCGGTCAGGTCCTCCTCGTAGCTGTCGCCGTCTGACATATAGCAGCAGCACACCGCACCGGCCTGATCAGGTAGGTACACGCACAGCCTCTCGTACCAGAGCGGGGGCCCGGGGACCTGGAACCTGACCAGGTAGAAATCCCCCTCGGCCAGCCCCGCGCGGGAGAGCCCATTCGTCGCCATCGGGTCGTCGCACGCCGCGACGCGAGCAGACCACCTTCAACTGCTCGAGCGCCTCCGCACGCAGGTCCGCTCCGGCCGCTGGCTCGGGCCCCTCTTTCAGCTCCCCGAGGGCAGGCGCGGCGCTGCTGCGCGAGCCTCGGCTGCCAGCGGCGAGCCGCGAGCTAAGCCCCAGCGCCGGGCCGCGGGCAGGTGGGCCAGCGCGAAGCCGAACCCCTGGCAGATCGGGGTGGCGAGCCAGCCCCCCGAGCAGTTGTGCCCGCACTGCACCGTCGGGCACGCTGGGCACGTGACGGCGCAGCTGCAGGCCAGGCAGTCACAGTAGCACGGTACACAACTCTACCCAGCCGAGCGGACGGCGACGCCTATGCCCACCCCTCGGATGATCTTTATGAAACCCTGTTCGAGGAGTTCCATGGAAAGGCGTGGGCTCACGCTTGAGCCGAACGTTGCGGTTCGGCGTCCATCCCCTTCTCTTCCTGTTTATACATTACAATGTGGGGATACACATTATATATATATATATAGATATGGATGCACATGCATTTGTATTTTATGTAGATGTATACATATGTATATATGTATAGGCCCTTGTATGGGACCGGTGAAGAGGATGCTTGTAGGAAGGGTTTACTGCAGGAAGGGTTGATTCCAATATCGTTGATGAGTCTTAGGTTTGCACTGGTCTCCCTCCTCCTCCTCCTCCGTCCCCGATGTTCCCCTCCGCTATGATCGCCTTATCCCTATCCTCTTAGAAGGCGCTGGCCTTACACGTATAGATAAGGCCCGCGCCTTCTAAGAAGCAGGAATGCTTCTAAGAAGCACCCCCCTTCCCCCCACCCCCTCTGCGCGTGGCTGATTCATGTTCATCTTCCCCCTGCTCCTCATTCCCCCCGCCGCTCGCTGACCTTCACCCCCAAAATGGTGCGGGTAATGGCGGCCCACTCGTGCCCGAATGGGATGACCGCGATTGTCTTCGTCCTCGACCTCGCCATCCACATCCCGCCCCTTCTGGCTCTCCACCTCCACTCTTGCCCCCCTCTCCTCCCCCGCCAGGCCCCCGTCTTCAGTCTTCCCCTTTCTCTTCCCTGTCCTCTCCTCTCCCCTTCCTCCCTCCATTCTCCTCCCTCGTCGGTGTGGCGCCGCCGCTGCCGCCGTCGTGGCCGCCGCCGCCGCCGTGGTCGTCGGAGTCGTCGCCGTCGTCGAAGCCGCCCGGGGCCGACGGGGAGGGACACCCCTGGCGGCAGCGCCACCGGCCTCCAGGGCCTCCGTGGGCTCGTCCGCCCACCTGGGCGCTCCTGCGCCCGACGCGCGCTGCGTTTTCTGCCGCCGAAGGCGGCGACGATGAGCCCATCACGACGGGTGCGGCGGCGACGACCACCGACCACGACGACGGCGTCGGCGGCGACAACGGCTACGACGCAGACGGCGACGGTGGCGGCGGATGGCGGCGGCGGCGGCGGCGAGAGGGTGGGAGGGGGAAAGGAGGACGGTGGAAGAATGGAAAATAAGGCAAAACGAAGAGCAGGTCGGCGAGGGGTAGAAGGGAGACGAGGTGGAGGATGGTGCTTGTAGACGAATGTCTACAGGCAACCGCCAAAGTCCTGCAAGGGTGGCGGGAGACCAGAACCTGTCGGGGCCGACCGCGGCCCTGCGGGGCCGCGGAGGGACCCTCCCGGCCGAGGCAGCTACGGCCACAACGGCGTGCCAAGATCATCCGATCGACAAATAGGAAATAAGGGGCCTCTGAGATGGGGTCGGAGCATACAGGGTCGGATGATCGCGCCGCATCGTCGACACATCACCGATGCATCGGCGATGAATCGGCGATGTCGGCGCGGAGATATGCGGGCCCCACATCGAGCCGCATCGCCGATGCATCGACGATGCGGCGCAATCCTCCGACACCATCTACTCCGATCCCATCTGGGGAGCCCAAAAGAGACCACATTCAGGCGCTCTTTCGTCGCCGCCCGTGGTCGGGGCACCCCGTCTCCTTTCCGTTTTCTTCCCTCTCTGGAGGAACATTAACTGCGGCATGCACGTCAGAATGAGGGGGCCGAATGCTCATTCATTGTCCCTGGGTGCGTGGCTGAAGTTAGGATACGTGGTGAGGATTATGTGTGATGCGTTGTTGTTGTTGCTGATGTTGTTGTGTTGAACTTTCATTTCTGAAAAATCATTATTGCTGATCCCCCATCACAAGTGCATATTGCTTTTCGCAATCAAACTGTGCCCCTCGACGCTCGCACCTTGCATTTTGACAGGGGAAGTCTTCCTCCCCTGGCCCTCCGCATTGCAACAACAACAGCTCCCGCATGAGACTTCCTCCAAATTTACTCAGGACCCCCCCCTCCCGTCTGAGACGTCCTCCCAATTTACTCAAGAACGGCGCTCCCAGTTGAGACTTCCTCACAATTTAATCCGGATCAAACTGCGTTGCTGCTCCCCCGGACAACAACAACAACAACATCAACAACAACAACAACAACCACAACCACAACCACAACCACAACCACAACCACAACCACAACCACAACCACAACCACAACAACAACAACAACAACAACAACAACAACATCAACAACAACAACAGCAACAACAACAACGGCTCCCGCCTGAGGCTTCCTCACGATTTATTGAAGAATCGTGCTCTCGATTTGGACCCCCTTGCAATTTACTACCGAACCGCGGCTCCCGCCTGATACTTCCTGACAATGTATTATAGAATCGCGTTCTCGCGTGGGACTTCCTCGCAACTTACCACCGAACCGCTTCGCTTGATTTAGGTTCGTGAATTGCGACTACAGGCGGTCCACGACCACTTCGGGCCAAAAAACCCAAGCCAGAACAAAAACACCAGGAAATCTTGAAACCAAAACCTGGGGAGGTCCACATCCTGAAAAAAACTCAAACACCGAACCTGCGAAAAACTCAAACCCACAAAAACATAGGAAAAAACCTGAAGCTCAAACCTGGGAAAAAAAAAACTCAAACCAAACAAAAACTTCAGAAAATCTCTAAGCCGAAACCTGGGAAAAAACTTGGGACAAACTGTGGAAACAACTCTGTAAAAAACTCTAGAAGAACTCTAAAACAACTCGGGAAAAACTCATAGGAAAAACTCTGGAAACAAAAACTCAAAACGACTGAAAACTCGAAGAAACTCTGGAAAAACTCTAAACGACTGAAAACTCTAAAAAAACTTGGCTAAAACTATGGAAGAACTCATGGAAAAAACTCTGGGAAAACTTTAAAACAAAACTCTAAAACAACCTTCCGGGTTTGAGTTGTTTCCGGGTTTCCGCTTCATTTTTTTTCTAAGTTTTTTTAAGGTTTGAGTTTTTCCCAGGTTTCGGCTTCAAGATTTCCTGTAGTTTCTTCTGTGTGTGAGTTTTCCCCAGGTTTTTGTGTTTGAGATTCTCTCAGGTTGTCTTGGATTTTGAGTTTCCCATTCAAGATTCTTTAACATTTTTTTGGAGTTTGAGTTTCCGGCCGGAGGTGTTTCGAAGATTTGAGCAGGATTTCCGCTGGACCGCCTGTAGTCAATTCACGAAGCTAACGCTTGATATTTCCTCACAATGTATCCAGATGCCTGTCCTCGACACTCGGGAATCGTGCCCCCTCTACATATTGCCTCGTGGTTCAAGCAAAACTCACGTTTCAACGACCCGCCCGCTCGACCCGCCCGTTGGGGCCTGCCCGCCCGACCAGCCCGTTAATGACCGCATTCGCCGCTCGCTGCCCTTCGCCTGCCTTCGATGCCCCTCGCTGCCCGTACTGGATCCGCGGTCGCCTTCGCTCGCTGCCCTTCGTGGCCCCGTTGCTGCCCTCAGTGGTCCCGTCGTTGCCGTCGTGGCCCTACATAATATGCCCTTCGTGGCCCCTGCTCGCACGCGCCCGTCGTGGCCCCATACGCGAGCCCTTCGTAGCCCCGCTGTCGCCCTTCTTGGCCCCCTCGCTGCCCTTCGTGGCCCCTTTGCTGCCCTCAGTGGCCCCGCTGTCGCCCTTTGTGGCACCGACTACGACTGCCCTTCGTGGCCCCCGCTCGCTCCCGTCGTGGCCCCATATGCATGCCCTTCGTGGCCCCGCTGTCGCCCTTTGTGGCCCCCTCGCTGCCCTTCGTGGCCCCCTGTGCTGCCCTCAGCGGCCCCGTCGCTGCCCTCTGTGGCCTCGGATTTTATGCCCTTCGTGGCCCACGCTGGCTTTTCTCACGATTTACTTGGGAATCGCGTTATCGCTCGAGACTTCCTCGCGATTCATGCAGGACCCACGCTTTAGCAACCCGCCTGCTCGACCTCGTCGCTTTGGCCCGCCTTCCCGACCTGCCCGCTATGGGTCTGCCCGCCCGATCTGCCCGTCTGGTTCTACCACTTGTCTTCTGCTCCTTATCCCCCTCCTGCAAATTTCTCTCGTGCTCCATTCTTCTCAATCCCCCTTCCACCCGTCCTCTCTTCCCTTGTTTACGGGGCTGCACTAATTACGCGTGGCATGTAGTGAAGCCATACCCCCAAGGGGGGTGCGATCGAAGACGAAGAGGGCGGGTACTGACGGTTTGGGAGATACGTATTGATTGGCACGTGAGCAGATAGGAGCGAACAGTCTTAAAATGATTGAGCTCTCATTTCTGAAGAATAATCATTATTCACTCCCCGGTGAAAACCAGGTAGACAGAGATGTGAGATATAGGATGATAATGATAATCATCTCTGCTGTTGGTGCTCTCGCTCGCTCGCGCCGCGTGTAGCACCCCGTCTCGGCCTCGACTTTTTGGCTCGCAAGCTCGGCGGGGCGGTGGGCGCACCTACTCACGTTTCGCCTTTGTGCGGAATAAAGATTTCATGTGTTTCTCATCTCGCGCTTGCATCAAATGCTTGTGGGAAGGATAGCGCCATCAATATTTACACTGGTAGCCTGGAGCTGCATCAGTTCTACGGTTGCGAGATCTATATCAATGTGGTCGTGCAGAAGTACATGCTGGCGCTCATCGTTCTCGCGGTGCTTTGCCACTGCGCTCTTCATAGTTCGGCGATCAATACTCACGGCCCAATCACTTGCAGCCTGGCCGGCAATCGTTGCAGCAACGAGCCTGACAGCAGCAATGACCACCCCTCTTCGTGAACAAAGAGGGCGTGATACACTACGGCGGAGATCCAGCCTACGGCGAGAGGAGTTCGAGGAGCAAGCAATACTCGGCCACCATGCGAGCGAAGAGAAGATTCAGAAGCCCAACGCGATTAAGCTCAAGAGTTCGTTGAATGGACGAGCGTGGAACCTCGCGAGGAAGAAGGCCGATATTGCGACGCAAGCAGCGTTGGAGGAAACAGGTGATGACCCACTTGCTGCAAAAAAAGTTGGTCGTTTCAACCGCGCGACAAGCGCGCGGGCGGATCGCGCCACTACAGAAGCAGCAAGCGTTCGAGGAGCTTATCTTGAAAGGCTTTCGCAACGGATCGGAGTCAAAGCAGGGTTGCACATCAAGGCGGGAGACGGAGTGCGAGCGGCTCAAATCTCTGTCGGCAAACACGACGGTGAACGAAGACATTCGGACACACTTTCTACCGAAGTTGGCAAATATCAGCATGACTGAGCACGCAGCGATTCTCGGACAATGCAACAACGAGTAGTTACATCTGGGACGACGTGACGGCGGCGATGCTTATCCAGCTGGACACTACATGCAGAGACGAACGTGGACGCGGACGGAATGGGGCCTACCAGGTGGACTACGACGACGACGAAGAAGAAGCCCTACTCCGAGAAGAATGCGGCATGCGCGACGAGGATGGGTTCATGAGCGATGAAGACTACGACGCGCTTGCAGCCGACATCGACGAGTTCGAGGGCGTGATTGGCGACGTCGACCCCGAAGAGGTCAGCCAGGAGGAGTGCGACACTCTTGTGGCAGATGCTCAGCGTCTCGGGTGGAAAGTGGACGAAAAGGTCACAAGCTGAACGACAAGCAGGCCCGGGGGAGGCTCGCGCAGTGCAAGTAAACCGAGGCTGGAAAGCCGACGTCAACAGACAGGGCCCCATCAAGATGGACGGCAAGGAAGCCGAGTGAGCTCAAGAAGAGAAAGGCTCGCACGAAGTGCAACGCATGCCGCAAGAAGGGCCAGTGGAAAGGCGACCCAGAGTGCGAGAGGACAAGGCCATCAGGCGGGGTTCATCGACCAGCCTACAGCGTGGAGGACGAGGTGGCGGCCGGGGCTTTCACGGACGACCTGGGGGTTTTCTACGACGGGCTCGGTTTGCGATGGCAGCAGTGGTGGAGCTGCTGATGGCGGACAGCTCAATG